TTGGGGGGTGAAAAGCCCCTAAAAAAAAAAAAAAAAAAAAAAAAAAAAAAAATCACACCAGAAATGTGGTTTGATGGCTTCCTTCCTTACTTTCTCTGGTCACATTAAAAAACAATAATAACAATAACTCATTCTTTAGAGAATTATTTTATTTAACCTTATTTATCTATTTATTTATTTATTTATTTAAATTTGATTGGAGAGGGATAGAGTGAGAGAACAAGAGAGAAAGTGAGAAAAAAATCGCTGGTCTGGGACTTGAACTGTGGTTGGTCATATGGGAGTCCAACACCCTTAACCACCATGCCACCTGCCAGACCCTCTTTTATTTATTTTTTTTTTAAGAGAGATTTTTGCTATAGAGTACTTGAGTTCCCCAGAACAACTGATAGAAAGCAAGAAATCACCCTCTCAGGGGGATAGCTATGCCACAATCCCTTCTCCTCCATTCTCCTCTCAGGATTTTAGGCACACACGCACACACACACACACACACCCAGCCTGAGTTTTAAGTCGCCAGTTCCAGGACTCGAACCGCAGTCGGCTATGTGGGAGTCAAATGATGTAACCATTACACCATCAGGTTATCCCAATACTCTTTTTTTAAAAAAAAAGAATTATTTTATTCATTGTCATTATTTTATTTTTTTTGAAGATGACCAGAGAGAGATAGAGAGAAGGAAAGTGAGAGAGCAAGCTGCCAGGTCTGGGAGTCGAACCATGGTCAGCCATGTGGGAGTTCAGCCGCCCTAACCACCACTCCACCTTCTGGTCCCCCCCAATAATTCTTTTCTAAAATTATTTATTGTGGCTGGCAGGTGGTGTGGTGGTTAAAGATGCTGGATTTCCACATGGCTGACTGTGGTTTGAGTCCCAGACCTGGTGGTTTGCTTTCTCATTTTCTCTCTCTCTTTCTACTTCTCTCTCACTATCCCTCTCTGGTTAAATTAAAATAAACAAAGTTTAAAAAAGTATTTAATTGTATTTATTATTATTTCTTAATGTGACTAGAGAGAGAGAATGCTAAAATGAGAAACCAAGCTGCCACGTCCAGGACTCAAACCATAGTCGGCCATGTGGGAGTACAACACCTTAACCACCATGCCAACTGGTAGTCCTAAGAGACTTAAAAATAAAAAAAGAAAACAACAAACTTTTACCACTCTTGCCTTCAGTGAGCTCAGATTCTTTTTTCATTCTTTAAAGAATTATTTTATTTATGGTACCAGCAGGGGGCATAGTGGTTGAAGCGCTGGATACTCCCACATGGCTGAATGACCACAGTTCACGTCCCAGACCAGCTGGTTTGCTTTCTCACTTTCCCTCTCCCTTTATCTCTGTGTGTCTCTCTGGTCAAATTTAAAAAAATAAAAGAAGAAATAAAAGTAAATAATTATTTTAAAAGAATTATTTTATTTAACTTTATTAATGTTACTATTTTTAATAACTATTTATTTATGTCATTAATTCCATTTGTTATTATTATTATTTTTTGTTATTATTTTTTAATTTGACCGGTGAGAGTCAGAGAGGGAGAGGGAAAGGGAAAGCAAGAAAGCAAGTCGCCAGGTTCAGGACTTGAACTGCGGTCGGCCATGGGAACCCAGCGCCTTTAATCACCACACTATCTGCTGGCCCCAACGTTATTATTTTTTCATTTGACTGGGGGGAGGAGGGAGAGAGAGAGAGGGAAAGTGAGAAAATAAGCCACTGGGTCCAGGACTCAAGCCGAGGTCAGCCATTCTAATGGGCAAGACAAATCCTATGTACAAAAGGGTAGAAACCAAAGCAGGGTAGGACAGGACAAGGAAGATGGAATCATTCGATGCAAAAGCTGGCAAGTACGTCAGCAAGGACACTTCTGCCTACATTTCCTGGACAACCACAGACGCTTAGTACACATACCTCCCAAATTCCCTACTCCCAAACTAGAGAGAGCACGAACAACATGAAACCAGCATTCTAGCTCTGTCTCTGGCGTTGATCCTCACGGTGCTGATTCAAGTTGAACATCCCAGGAGGAAGGAACAAAAGTGAGTGTGTGAAGGTAGGGCCAGACGTGGCACAGCAGTAAAGCACAACAGACTTCCCCAAGGGCAACAGGAACCCTTTTTTTTTTTTTTTTTTAAGAATTATTTATCTAACTTTATTATCATTATTCTTCAATCTGACCAGAGAGAGAGAGAAAGCTGCCAGTCTCAGGACTTGAACCGTGGTCAGCCATGTGGGAATCCAGCACCTTAACCACCATGCCACCTGCTGGTCTTGAACAGGCACACTCTTAACTATGATCGGGGCTGACTGATGGCTAGCTTCACTGAACACACCAGGCACACGCTTGATCATGATCCAGGGCTGACTGAAGGCTGGAGGAAGATAGCAGTACTGAGGTCCTGTTGCTCCCAATTTTGCTATTTCTCCCTCATGGAGAAATAAGCCTAATAGTTAAAGGAGCCAGGTGCCACAGGATGAACAGGTTTGAATCCTGGCCTTGGAGACTTGAAAAATACACTGGGCCAGAGGCATGTGTATCCAAATTCCTGACAGGATAGAGAAATGAAGAAGGCACTGCTACGTGACCACGCCCCATGCAGGGGTGCTTTCTTCCTCTCCCTGTCTCTGTCTGGTGCAGACACCCGCTGGCAGTTAATGAAGAAAAGGGAGGTTGTGAAGGCAGCAAGGCATAAAGCATGGTCACACCGTGGTAAACTGTCCCATTTGCCAGGGCACAGGATGGAAGAAAAGTATATGGTTAAAAACAAACCAAGAAGGGGCTGGCAGGTGGCATGGTGGTTGAGGATGCTGGACTCCCACATGGCCGACAGGGGTTTGAATCCCAGACCTGGCAGCAGGTTTCTTTCTTCCTCTCTCTCTCTCTCGTTTGCTCACTCTCATTCTCACTCTGTCCCTCTCTGGTCAAATTAAAATAAATAATAACAAAAATAAATAGATGTCAAATAAAACAATTCTTTAAACAAACCAAAAAAAGAAGGTTGACTCTTGAAAAGCTGAGCCAGCCCCATATCATGGTGGTTAAGCCTAGGTCTCCTCTCTGTTGTGAGCACACGTATCCTTCATGTGCATAGGAAGCCAGATTCCACATTGCCAACCATGGTTCAAATCCCAGCCCTGATAGCTTGGAAAACATGCCAGGCGTATATGCATACGCACCCAAAACTCCTGATGAGAAATGAAGGAAAAGGATTAAAATGTGACTAAGTACATGCACTCTATGGCAAAAAGAAAACAAAGGATCAAATAGAGTCTTTCCTCAGTATTCTTAGGAGATTGTTTCCAGGACCACTTTGGAAAACAAACCAGAACCCATAGATGCTTTAATCCCTTCCCACTAAGAGAGTGCAGGAGGGGCCAGCAGGAGGCATGGGGGTTGAGGCACTAGACTCCCAGAAGGCTGACCCCAGCTTGAGTCCTGGACCTGTGCTTGCTTTCTCACTTTCCCTCTCTCTCTCTCTGGTCAAATTAAAAAATAATAACAATTTAAAAAATGAAGTAATTTTTTAAAAAGGGTACAGTATGTGCATATAACCTACACGTCCTGTGTCCTTTGTCATCTCTAGAGTACTCATAATACCTAATACAAGGTAAATGCTAGGTAAATGGTTGTTATTCTGTTTTGTTTAGTGAAAAATGACAGAAAATAGTTTGAGGAGTATCTCCATGGCCTGGTGGTTAGTGGAGCTGGATCCCGCATGGCCAAACCATGCAGTTAGAATCCCAGCCCCAGCAGCTTGAAAGACAGTCTGGGCACATGTACACGCGTGCCCCCAATCCAATTTGGATGGACAAGTAAGGAATTGTGATGTTACCTGTCCCACTGGGAGTGCTTTCTCCTCTCTCTCTCTTTGTCCTCTCTCTGTGTTATGAGCACATGTATCCTTCAGTAAATTTTTCCATTTGTTGTAGGGCACGTGCACTTGGCAGAGAGAGAAAGAGGAAGAGGAAAGTGAGAAATTCACCCCACACTGGGGGAATGGCCATGCCACAATCCCCTCTCCTCCTGGGATTTTGGGCACATATGTATATACATTTAGCATATATTTCTTTCTTTTTTTTTTAAAGAATTATTTTATTCAACTTTATTTATTTATTTATTTATTTAAATTTCATCAGAGAGGGAAAGAGTGAGAGAGAGGAAAGTGACCAAAGATAGAAAGTGAAAAAGCCGCCAGGTCCAGGACACTTGAAGTCCAGCACCCTTAACC